CAGTGCCGGCATACCATATGGGCGCAGGTTCGAGTCCTGGCTGCCCCTCTTCTGACCCAGCTCTCTGCTATGGCCTGGGAAAGCAGTGGAAGATGGTACAAGTCCTTGGGCCCCTGTACCATGTGGGAGACCTGGAAGAAGCTCCTGGCTCCTGGCTTGGGATCAGCGCCCTCCGGGGCCTGGCCAGCCCAGGGCCCCTGTGCCTGGCCCCTCTGCCCTGCGGCTACTCAGCTGGAGTGGTCTTTTGATCTGTGAGGCTCTGCGCCAACTGGCTAAGGTGGGGACCCTCGTTCCAAAATCACTGAGTCTCCAGCCAGTGCCGCCGAGCCCTGGACCCCTCCCCTGCTCCCCTCCTCCCGCAGTGGAACAGAGTGACCTAATCTCCTCACAATCTCACATTAATTAGCACCCCCCCCACCATGCTCCCAGCCATAAATCACATCAAGATGGGAGTGCTGTCAGCTGCTCCCATGATGACCTCGCAGCCCCTGGTGGGGAATGAAGGTCTATCTTTGTTGGAGGGAAGTGGGGGCCTCCTGGGGAGGCTGAGGCATCCTGAGGGGGGTGTGGGGAGGAGGAGGCCACCAGCAGCCTCCCCACAGCTCCTCCTGGAGGAGACCAGGGCCTGGCAGGCAGCAGAGGACGGGTGGGTGTGGCTGGGTGGGCTGGTAGCCCCAGCGACCTCCCACGGCACAGGCCGGCTCCCCAGGAGCTGGGTGGGCCGGTGACAGGCCTCCCTCTGTTAGGGTGCCTGCCGAGCACCCCAAAGATAATCTGGGCCCCGTGTGGCTAGAGGAGCACGGACGTTCACAGCAGCCCACACATGTTTTGAGACGCTCACGTGCTCATATTTGTTGGATAAGCAATCAATAAGTGAATCAAGGAACTAATTTACGCCGTCGCATTTAGCTCTATTCCTGGGAAGAGGCTGAGGGTTCAGGAGGGGGAGAGCCAGCTAACGCCGTCTCTCCGGGTTCCCAAGGGGAATTCAATTACACACGAGGGGCGGGTGCTGTGGCGTAGCAGGTTAAGCTACTGCCTGCAGTGCCGGCATCCCATATGGGCACTGGTTCGAGTCCCGGCTGCTCCACTTCCAATCCAGCTCTCTGCTGTGGCCTGGGAAAGCAGTAGGAGATGGCCCAAGTCCTTGAGCCCCTGCACCCACGTGGGAGACCTGAAAGAAGCTCCTGGCTCCTGGCTTCGGATCGGTGCAGCTCTGGCTGTTGTGGCCAACTAGAAGTGAACCAGCAGAGGGAGGACCCCTCTCTCTCTCTCTCTCTCTCTCTCTCTCTGCCTCTCCTTCTCTTTCTGTGTAACTCTGACTTTCAAATAAATATATAAATCTTACAAACAAACAAAAGACTGAAAAGTCACACATGATGTCAAGCATGTTAATTTTTTTTAAAAAATGTATACATGAAGCCCCAGCCCCGGGTGGCCAGCCAGCCAGCACTCTCAAGCCTCAGTGTGCACCAAGGCACCAGCAGATCGGGATGAAACACAGATTTCCAGGCAGTGGACCTGGGAAGCCTGAGACTGCATTCCCGGCCAGCTTTTGGGTGTTCTAGAACAAGGTCCCCTTCTGCAGCGCAGGGCTGGGCAGACTGAGCGACTTCTGCACGCTGACCATGGACTGGGAGAAGGGGATCTGGGCTACTCCTGGCCAGGGGGAGAGGAAGAGCGGCTGGACCGGCCCATGGCAGGGGTAAGAGGGCAGCTCCGGGCCCAACTGCGTGGGTCTACACCAGGCTTTAACACCCTTTATCTTAAATGCTGGGGACCAGAGTGTTTCAGACTCCCCGGTTCTCCAATCTGGGAGCACGTGCACGGGTTTCACCAAAACAGCCCTCATCCAAATATCGAAATCCAAGACGCGCCGGAATCGGAAACTTTTTGAGCATTTATGTCAGGATTTCCAAAAGCTTCGGATCTCTGAGAATTTTAGATGAGGCTTCTTGGCTGAGGGAGGCTCAGCCCTTGTGCGCTGTGTCCTTGGAACTGGGGTGGAGGAGGGAGAGGCCCAGAGGCAGGGAAGTCGAGATGGGGAGGGGGGGACTCCCGGTGGGAGCCGGGCCAGCCCACCTTGTCTGCAAAGGGCTGGGTGGAGGAAGAATCCCTGTTGTATCATGGAAACATACAAGGGACAGGTGTACATCGATGGGGGGGGGGGGGGGGCTGAGTCCCCTGTGGGCAGCACTTTGCCCATCCCTGAAAAGGACTGTGTCTGTGAGTAGAAGCCCATCTTGCTGTGGCCATCAAATGACAGGGACTCAGAGCCAGCACGAGGCAGGGAGGACGCCCCTTGCTCATGGGCAGGGGTGCTGGCACTGGGAAGTCCTCAGACGCAGGATCCACGCGAGGGAGCTGCCCCCAGCTCCCCTCCCCAACAGCGACTACCGCTCCCTGAGACTTGGCAACAATAGCAAAAATATATCCAAAGCCGCAGACTTTTTGTTTCACTTTGTCTATTTATTTGTTTTGCTTTTGTCTCTTTGGGTTTACTTGGGAAGAGTGTTAATGAGCCCTCGACTAAATGCTCCTGGTTGACACCATGGGTACGGGTGCGGCAGGCCCAGCGCTCCCCAGCGTGTCAGGGAAACCCTCCGGGACTCAGCTATAATTAGAAGCCAATTAAGTGAGAAGCCATTATTAGGTGCTTGGAAGGCCTCCAGGCTGCGGACCGCGCTGCTAGGGAGCCCACCTTTGCTAACCCTGCGGTGCTGAAGGCCAGGCTGGGGTGGGGGCGGGGTGGGGGGCTGACAGACCTGTCCCAGCGCACTGCACTGCCGTGCCGGCCTTTGTGGCACCGGCCCCTGCACCCTGGCGGCGCTGCCTTCCTGTCTGCCCCTCACTGCCTGCCCCAGCTTGCCCTTGCTAGAAGGAACGCTCTCAGCGAGTTCACGGCTGGTGGCTGCAGTGCGTGCGTCCATCTTGCCCCAGCCCGGTGAGTGTTTTCCGGAGAGGGGAACGCAGCACTGAGGTGCGGGCGGTGAGGTAGGGCGTGGAAAAAGGCAGCTTTTGTAGCCCAAGAGACTCCGGAAGCCCTCGGGATGGAGCTCCCTGAGCGAGGCTCCCACAGGGGGAGCCTGCACGCCCCAGAGCTGGGCACTCTTCCCCGGCCGGCTAGCCCCAGGGCCGCCGGCTCCTACAGCAACCTAGGAGGCGCACTGCTAACCCCAGGGCACCCACTTTCCCTCTTCTCCCAGTCACACAGCCAGCACCACGTGGCCCCCGCACCCTGCCAGTCTTCCCCGGATGTTTAATGGGAGTCACTGGGACCCATCTCTGTGCAGTGGAAGGCTTCACACGTGCGGTCATAGGCGTGCACCTGCTGTGGAGCCCCGAGGGGGCGCTCAGGCACTGACGCTCCAGAGACTTTTTCTTGGCCCTTGTTGGGTGCAAGTGCACTTCCTTAAGGCCCGGCCTGGTTTGTAATCCAGCCTCTCTCTCTGAAACTCTCACCCAGCAAAGCCTGAAGTCCCAGATGTTTCAGGAAAGATTGTCTGGGTGCCTCTGTCTCCCCCAGCCCCTGCCCCGTCACAGCCAGCCATGCCCTGACTCCCGACTTATAAAGCTCTCCCCTCTTTCTCCAACTTAATTTCTTTTCTTCCGATAAACAGTCTCCCTCATGCCTTTAGGATGGGACAGGGACAAGGTTCAGGGCTGGGAGGGAGCCGTCGGATCCCCCATTCCCAGGGTCTCCTGCCTTTTTTGTGTCTGCTTTGGGAATCGCTGGTTTCCACGACCAGGTTGACTCCATAAGGACAAGGGCCTGCTGGGGGCTCCCAAGGCCCAGGGTGACTGTTGGTCTAAATCAGCAGTGGGTTCCAGAAGACGCCGCACATACCTAGCCTCTGTCTGTCAATGCAAGGCGACAGCGACCTAGCGTGGCCCTGGGGAGGGGAACTTGGTGTCTCTTTGTAGAGCTGAGCTGATCAGTGCCCAACTCGTGGATCAGCTTGCTCTGATGGAAACACAGATCTCCCACTGGGGGAGTGAGAAAACGCCCCTCCCCCTGTAAAGCAGCGAGTTACTGTGGTGGTCGGCCAAGTGTCTGGTGCCTGGTGGCTGTCCTCTGTTTGTGACGTTGCTGTGTGACCTTAGGCAAGTCGCTTAACCTCTCTGGACTTTTGTTCTCTCAGTTCTAAAATTATACATTCTCTCTGATGGATGAGCATTCTTCATGGGGAGAGGGAAGACCCTCCCAAGGGGGCGCTGGCCGAGCCAGAGCGAAGGGCCAGGCCCATTCCTCGCGTGTTCCCAGGGCCCTGTGCTGAGTCCGAGAATCAGGACCAGCCTGGGGCACCTGATATTTGAGGCTTGTGGAAGGACACATTTTCTCACACTGTGAGCACATTTTTTAACACTTCCTTTATTTATTTATTTATTTATTTATTTATTTGAAAGTTACACAGAGAGAGAAGGAGAGGCAGAGAGAGAGAGAGAGAGAGAGAGAGAGGTCTTTCATCCACTGGTTCACCCCCCAGATGGCCGAAATGGCCGGAGCTACGCCAACCCGAAGCCAGGAGCCAGGAGCTTCTTCCGGGTCTCCCACACAAGTGCAGGGACACAAGCACTTGGGCCATCTTCTACTGCTTTCCCAGGCCACAGCAGAGAGCTGGATGGGAAGTGGAGCAGCCGGGTCTCAAATCAGCGCCCATGTGGGATGCTGGCACTGCAGGCGGCGACTTAACCCGCTACGCCACAGTCCCGGCCCCAAACCGTGAGCACATGAACCATTAGCCACCAACCCCAGATATGGCAGGCGGCTCCTCTCATGCCCCAGGCTTCCTCCCAGGGCCTCTTTCCAGGAAGCATGCGGTGCTGCCAAGAGCCACCGAGGCTGCCTGCCGAGCCCATCCCGGCACAAGACTCAGCTCCACCCCTGCTGCAGGCTGTTTCCCACCCTGCTTCCCGGGGCGACACGGAGGAGGCAGCTGGAGCCGGGGCGGGCGGCCACCGCCGGTGCCCACCCGGTCCTGAAGGGCTGTGTCTTTCAGGTGAGGCCCGGGCTGAAGATGGTCCCCGAGGAAGACTCGGCGTGGATGCCCTGGCTCCCTGTCCTGGTGGTGAGTAGGTCCCGGCACTTCGCCCGCCTGCACCCTGCCCCTTGGCAGCGGTGGGAGCAGGAGCCTCCCATCCGGGCCCCGTCCCCCGGAGTGCATCACCTCGCCCAGACCAGGCCTGCCCGTGCCTGAGCCCTACCCCGGGGCTCAGAGCACACGCGTTTACTCCAGGGCTCCCTCTGTGAGGCCAGAAGTGTCCTCCAGTGCTTGATGGCCCTGTGACGCACAGCCCCTTGCCTGGCTGATGAGAAAGACGCAAAAGGCCCCATCTACTCGGCTCCCCCTGGGCTGGGCTAGTCTGGGCTGGGGCACCGCATGGCCACTGCTCTCCAGGCTCAAGGGAGGGGCTGCCTCACCCGTGACCTTGGAGAGAAGTGAAGAGAGGCGTGGGGGATGAGAATGTGGAACAGGCCCACACCAGGGCGCGGGCGGGCAGCAGCCACAGATGGAAGGTTCTGGCGGGGGGCTTCGGGGAGGGGCAGTGCCCAGTGGCCGTGCCCGGCTGGTTCGCCGCAAGTCACAGGGAGCTGGCCTCACATGAGCCTTGCAGTGACCGAGCCCACAGAGAAGCCGCCCCCAGCACCTAGGGGGCTTCCTGCAGACCCACCCTTGGGCTCTGGGCCCCGGGAGAAATGGACGTGTTTCCTAGTGGTCAGATCCCCCCCCTCTTTCGTGGCAGGTGTCCCTCGTGTGCTCGGCCAGGGCGGAGTACACCAACTGTGGGGAGAACGAGTACTACAACCAGACCACGGGGCTGTGCCACGCGTGTCCCCCCTGTGGACCAGGGGAAGAGCCCTACATGGTGAGGAGCAGCTGAGCCCTGGTGGGGTGGCAGGGGGGAGGGGGTCCTGTCCACGACACTGTGCCCTGAGCTAGCAGTGCTGTGCCAGTGGTCACCCAGGTCATCAAGCCAGCTGGGTGGTTCCTGGACATGGGTTGATGGCATGAGCCATGACAAGTGCAGCCCAGGGAGAAGGACGCCCGAGCCGCTGGGGACAGATGTCCCAGGAGTTCTTGTCAATGTGTGTGGAGGACAACTTTCCCGTCCCACGTGGATTAAATGAGCGTCGGGTCATGTGACTAGGAAGCGGGACTGGAATGTTCTCCCGCGGGAAGGCAGGGGGCGCCAACGAGCAGCGGCTGCCCTGGGGCTCCTGAGGACTGGGAGAAGTGGCACACGGAGGGAGGGCGTGCTCCAGAAACTTAGCTCCGGGCGGGTGCGCGGGGTTGGAGCCGGGAGAACAGGAAGCCAGGTCTGAGAGCAGCTGCAAGCAACAGCCTGGTGGTCACCGGGCCCGGGGGGCCCTGTCCGCCCGCACTCACCTGTGTCCTCTGTCCGCCTCCCCCAGTCCTGCGGCTACGGCACCAAAGACGAGGACTACGGCTGTGTCCCCTGCCCAGCGGAGAAGTTTTCCAAAGGAGGCTACCAGATATGCAGGCGTCACAAGGACTGCGAGGGCTTCTTCCGGGCCACCGTGCTGACGCCGGGGGACATGGAGAATGACGCCGAGTGTGGGCCCTGCCTGCCTGGGTGAGCAGGGGCCCCGCCCAGCAGAACCCTGCTTGCACGGAAAGTCTTGAGCGTCCAGGGCAAGGACCTGTCCAGTCCTGGGGGTGGGGAGCGTCCGGGGAGGACTCAGGACCCCTTCAGTGGGCGTTAATCGTCTGGTCACCCAAATGCGAGACAGCAGTTAAACACCTGCAGTGGGACAGCGCATGTAAAGCGTGTTGGGGAAAAAGGAAAATTGAAATTCCACACAAAACTATTAACGGTACCAGTTTCAGTATGGTGGCAAAACTGAGGGTAGAACTGTAAAGAGGCATATTTGAGTCACTTGATGTCCATAATCCCACCACGATTGTGTTATGTATCGAAAAAAGCAGACGTGATGAGCCTGAAAGCAAGATAAAGCCTTCATTTTTTTTTCCAGGCAGGGGACCTTAGCTAGTTGTGCCTGAGATGAGGAACATATTAGCTCTGCCCCAAGTAAATGCTAGCGGTGACCATTGCTAAACACTTTGCAGGGACTACAGATGGCAGCTGAAGGCAGTGGGGGAGCCTGGTGTGGGGGAGGAGATGGGGGGAAGGCGCAGGTACAGGGAGGTGGTAGTGATGTGGAGATGACGGAGGTGCTGGGGATGCTGATGGTGATGATGAGATGTCACAGGTCGGGGAGGAGATGGTGGGGGTGGTGCAGGTGCAGGGGACAGAGGAGGGGGTGCAGTGATGGGTGATGGAGGTGCAGTGGTGAAGGAGGTGATGGGGGTGGAGGTGATGGGGGTGATGGTGCAGGGGACAGACGAGGGGGTGCAGTGATGGGTGGTGGAGGTAATGGTGATGGGGGTGATGGTGATGGTGTTGTTGGTGCAGGGGACAGAGGAGGGGGTGCAGTGATGGGTGATGGAGGTGCAGTGGTGGAGGAGGTGATGGTGGTGGAGGTGATGGGGGTGGGGGTGCAGGTGCAGGGGACAGAGGAGGGGGTGCAGTGATGGGTGATGGAGGTGCAGTGGTGGAGGTGATGGGGATGGGGGTGGGGGTGGTGGTGGTGGTGGGGGTGCAGGTGTAGGTGCAGGTGCAGGGGACAGAGGAGGTGATAGCCGTCATGGTACAGGGATAGGTTTGGGTGGTGGTGGAGGTGAGGGTCGTGGCCGTAACCACGGGGCGGGGTTTGAATATCACACACACTTCCCACCGCAATCCATTTCTGGGGTTTTGCCCACTGTCTCTACCCAGTTTCCCAGACCCCCCTCCATGCTGCAAATGCTGGACAGCCCCACCAGTGTCGCTGGCACACCGAGTGATTCAGGTGTAGTTGTCAAAGCAGGAGAGCCTTATTTTTTGATACGCGAAAGAAAACAACGGGCTTTTACCAGGGAAGATACTAGCCGATTCTCTGAGGAACTGCTGCAAAAGTCAGAGTTCCCTAGCTGGACTGTCTTTAATTCCGTTCCCGTGGTTATTGTGTTGTGGGCGCTCCAGCCGGATTAATGTTCCTGTTAGAAGAACCAGAATTGGTTCATTCCCGCCCAGCTGCTGCAGTGTTGGGGGAGAGACTGTATGCAAGCACTCCTGGGTGTGGGAGGAGGGAAATTCAGAGAGATCTCGGCGTTAGACGGCTGGGACGGCACGGCTGGGACGGCTCTCTGATAATGTACATGGCTCCTAGAACTTCATCTCGGTTGGTTTTATAGATCTCATGGGTGCAGAGACCTCCTCAGGGAGAGGATTTTTCATGAATTAACTAGAAAAGTGTGCACACCTGGCCATGCCCACCTTGGAAGGGAAAGAGCCCTCTTTGCAAAACCTAAATTTATTTTGAGAGCCTGTCTTGTGAGTACCCAAGTTCACAGTTGGACCTACCTACTGCTTGTAAGCCTTCCAATTCCAATTCAGAGCCGCCCAGGCGGGCACCGGGGAGAGAAGAAGTGTTGTATCCTCACTCCTCAGTGGAGGAGGGAGATAAGGAAATCAGTGACTACAGCCCGTGGAATGAGGCACACACAGAGAGTTCCGGAAGCGGAGAGAGGAGCCCTCAGCTCGCAGCTGCGCAGTGAGGTCTGATGTCGCACTGCCGGGCGGGAGGTGCCTAGGAGACTAGGAGAGACGCTGAAGTCACAGCTCAAAGGCCCAAGTCACTGCGCAGGGCCAGTAGCTCAGACTGGGTCCCCATGGCCGAACAACAGGTGCATCCAGCGGGGTGTGCAGAGGCTGGGGTTGCTGACTTGCGCCCCCTGCTGGACGGGGCTGTGGGTCACCAGGCAGACTGCCGAGCTGGAGGAGGATGCCATCGGACTGTGCGGTAGGAGGCTGGAGGCCCCGGGTCTCTAACACAGAGCCGATCGAGGGGTGCGAAGCTCAGGGCGAGATCCCAGCTGAGGTCAAGACTTGGAAGCCACTGAGGCGCTGGTGCAGGTGGGCTCCCCAGGAGGCAGCTTCATGGAGGGCCGGGGTGGGTGGCGGAGGTAGGGGGTGGGTGCACGGTGGAACCTCGCCAGTGAGCACCACTGGTTCAGACCGGCCACAGTCGGCCCCCAGGCACACGTCTCAGGACAGTCTGCCGAATTCAGCCACAGTTTTGTTGCAGATGATCTAAAAGGGGCTGCGAGTGTACACTGGCTAGCCCGCGTCCTTGTCACTGAGAACCACAGAGACAGGACAAGTGTGGGTGAGGCGAGTGCCTTGGCCCACAGGCAGCCCCCAGCCAGCTCCCTCCCTCTAGAAGAACGGCTTCCAGCCTTGTGCTTCCCAAGGCTTCTTCTCCCCTCCTCCCCCACCAGACGTCTCAAGCGACCCCTCCCTGCTCCTTGGGAACAGTAACGGCTTAGTGCACACTTTGCCTCCAGCACATGGCACGGCCCAGGGCACCTGCTGAGCGAGGGAGACGCGTCCCGACTCGCACTGCTGAGCCGGGGGTCTCTGTGACACGGTGCATCTGCCTAAGCCCATCACTCCCAGGCCCAGGGTCACCAGGACAGGGCGCCCTTCTCCCGCTGTGGTCCCTGGCACAAGCCTCCACCCCCATTGCCCGCTGTGGGCTCAGAGGACACAAGGAGACCCTGAGGGATCGCAGGGCGCTTGGCAGGCTGGCGTGATGAGCTCAAGGAGGGGCTGTTTCCTCTCCTGCTCCTGTGGTTACCCGGATGCTGTGGTTTGGCAGGTCCTCCTGGTCTCTGCAGGCCTTGCTTTGTGTCCCCTGTGGCCGGGACGCTCACTGCACAAAGAGCAGCGCGTGGGGCTTTCCTGGTGGGAAAGGCGTGTGTGGGAGGCAGGCGCGGGAACAAACACAGAAGAGGAAGGGAGAGGAGGTCGGGTTTCACCGCCTCCCCCAGGGCTCGGCTGCCTGGGCCCTGGGCCCTGCCCAGCTGGTGGTACAGGTGAGCAAGCAGTGGCTCAGAGGCAGCCACTCCCAGCCTAGGGTCCTCAGAGAAAGGCTTATCTGGGGGACTCTCCACCTGTCAACATGGAGAAGTCAATGCCCAGAAGAGAATGTTCTAGAAGTCCCAGTTAAGCTGACTCCTGTCCCTGGTTATACCCGGATCAGCCCGTGCAGAGCAGGGGTCCCTAAGTCACTGTGGTTGCTCGTGGTCTCGTGGCCCCGTGGCAGTGTAGACGTGTGCCCAGACAGCCACTGTCGGTGTGGGGCCTTTGGCGAGCACAAGACATTGCCTGCTTCGTTACGGAACAGGCTCTGGGTGAGACGCCCGTGCCCAGCTGCAGGCTATAGAGAATGTTCGGAGCAGGTCTGGGGCGGGGGGGATGTCCAGTAGGTTAGCAGGGGTAAATGCCGGTTATGGCCCAGCTTCTTGGGCCCCTACTGCCCACCTGGAAGACTCAGATGGAGTTCCAGACTGCTGGCTTCAGCCTGGCAGATGAAAGATCATCTATCTATCTATATCTATCTATCATCTATCGATCAATCGATCTATCATCTATCTATCGATCGATTTATCGATCTATCTACCTAAAAATGCCCTGTACCACAGGATGTGCTAGAAACAAAAGTGACTTCTGCTACCCAGCAGCACTGAACACTCATGCCACTTTAGGCCGTACAACTCCCCAACAGTCTACCCTGGAGCCTCCCAATGCCAGCCCTTCACTGAGTTAATATGTCACACAGCGTGGTCCAAACCCCTGGCCCGGCACGGGCATGCAGCAGCTGCCCTTCAGCCCCCGCGGGCATCAGGAGAGCCCCGACTCCCGCCCCATGAGAGCGGCTGAGCAGAGGCAGAGAGCAGGCCAAGGCCCCTCCGCTTCTCAGATGCAGCCCTCAGGGCACCAGTCCCTGAAGCCCTGGCACGTGGCATCTGCCAGGGGGACTGTAGAGCTGCACCTGTGCCGGAGCCCAGCCCCAGGGTGCTCCCAGGATGGGCACGGCTGAGCTTCTGACCCTCCAAAAGGGAGGAGCGCTCACAAGGTTCCCTCTGGGCCTTCTGTCCCTCTCAGCCCTTTGAACTTCCATGCAGAAGAAGTGGATGTCGTCGGTTTGTCCATCCAGCCAACATGGGCTCCCTACCCAGCATGAGGCTCCGGGCAGGGGAGCCCACCACCACCTGACGGGAGAGAAAGCCACAGATGGGCAGGTGGGAAGAGGAGGCTGATTCCCAGACGTGGCCGCAGTGGGCCTGGGTGCTGGCCCCTGGCAGGCAGACGGGGCGCCCCGTGTGGCTCCTTCCTGTGGACAGCGCCGGCACAGCCTGTGTTCCAGGGAGGCTTTTCCAGGAGCCTTAACTGCTGTTGAGGCTTCTCAGAGGGCCGCTTTGAGATTGGTTAATTGATGTTTACAAGATGCGCGCCGGGATCAGAGGATGAAAGGCACTGAGAAAGGGCAGCAATTATGAGCGTGCTTTTCTCGGGAGCCGGGCCAGGCTCAGGAAGGCGGAGTCCAAGCACGCCCCCTGCCGGCCTCCCGCCCCGAGCTGCTGCTCACCGCCCAGCTCCTGGGGGTGGGGGGTGGGGGGCTACCTGGTGCCCGGCTAATAAAAAAGAGATTAGAAAACCACCGCGTGCAAAGCCTGTGGCATCTCTGGAGCTGCGATAAGGGAAGCGTTGGCACCAGCGCGCTGCTCTTAATGGACTTCTCACACTGATAGCCCTGGATGTTTGTGTATGGAAAGCAGGCGCGAGCTGTGGCCCTCAGAGCTCAGCTGGGAGCCCAGGGCGGCACGTGGCCTGCAGGGACTGTGGGCCACAGTGGCCAGGTGGCAGGACCACGTGGCCGGCGCAGTGACCTCCAGAGCATGGGGATGTAGGGGCACATCGTGGCGGCGAGGGTGGCAGCTGGGACTTGGAGCAGTGGTGCCGCCGCAGTGTGTCTGCTTCCCCGAGAGGAAGCAGCTATGACCCGGTGGCCGTGGGTCAGGTCGCTCTGCCAGGCCGTCTGCGTGGCCCTCTGTTCACACTCCCGCCATCTGACGATCCCCCCCCGCAGCACCCACTGCTGGCCAGCACCATGGGGTACAGCGTGTCCTCAGGAGGCCTGGGAGTTCCGGGCTGCCCTGAACACTGGCGCCAGTTATCACAGCGCGGTGTTGCAGGCGCTGGGGAGGGTGACAGCAGACACACACACTAGGCAGACGCATCAGGAGAGAAAGCAACAAGAGAAGGAGGCAAAAAGAGAGGCATGGAAACTCCCGAGGAGACCGAAGGGGAAAATGGGCTGCTAACCCCGCTGCTGGGCCCCCGCCCGAGGCCCCGCCCTCACCCTGCTCTGCTCTGTCTCCCCCTGCAGCTACTACATGCTGGAAAACAGACCCAGGAACATCTACGGCATGGTGTGCTACTCCTGCCTCCTGGCACCCCCCAGCGCCAAGGAATGTGAGTGGTCCTCATCCGGGTCAGAGCCGAGGTTTGTCACCCTAGCACTGAAGAGGCTTTCTAAACATGTATTTTATTGTGGAAGGCGGAGTGACGGGGAGAGGGAGAGACAGAGAGAGATCTCCCCTCTGCTGGTTCACTGCCCCCCCCCCAAATGGCCACAACCAAAGCCAGGTGGGCCACACCAAAGCCAGGAGCCAGGAGCTTCTTCTGGGTCTCCCATGTGGGTGCAGGGGCCCAAGTCCCTGGGCCATCTGCCGCTGCCTTCCCAGGTGCATTAGCAGGGAACTGGGTCAGAAGTGGAGCAGCCGGGACTCGAACCGAGATTAGCGTTAGCAGAAGCATAAACGGAAGCAGTACCGCGCCTAAGCAGGGGCGCCTCGGGTTGATGAAGAGGGGTGGGGAGGGGTCGATGGTGCTGAGCTTCGAGTGGGAGGGCTAAACAGCCCACTTGGCCTGCAGGAGCCTCAGCTTTCTCGCCTGTGAGGCGGGGACACGAACACCTGCCCTGTCGGTCTCATGAGACCCTGGGGAGAGGCCATGCACGGCAGAGGCCAGGCTGTTCGGCAAAGCAGAGCGAAGAGCTCGCCATTAGTGAGGGCGAGGGGGACCCCGCGGGAGTCAGAGCTCCCGCAAAGCACTCGGAGCCGCCCGGCTCCCGCCTCGGCCGTGAGAGCCTCCGCTCAGAGGAAGGCGCCCGGTGGTCCTTCGGGCTTGTGCTCTGGGGACGCAGCTGGGAGGAAGCTGGGTGTGTGGCGCCTGACGGCAGGAGCACTTGGGGGCAGAGCCGTGGAGGACTCCGGGGCCCCAGGCACACCACACCGGGGGTTTCTCCCTACAACCCCGTGCAGCCTGGGAGGAAGGGGAGGAGCGCAGGGACAAGGGGCGGGGCTGTGGGCGGGGCTGCGGAGGCGTCTTTGGAGGCGGGCTGGGCCCGAGCCAGGGTGCCCTGCAGCTGCGTTGTCTGGGGATGTGGGGAATTCCGCCCGCCCCTTCCAGAGGCCCAAACGGAAGAGCCTGGCAGCGGCTGCTCTGCAGAGTGCTGCTTCCCAGCCATCTGCTAATTAACTCGCAGCATCAGGGAGGCTGTGGGCTGCAGGAGAGAAGCCAGCTCGCGCCTGCTGCATCTTCTCTGCGGGGGGGGGGGGGGGGGGGGGTTTTACCCCCCCAGAAAAAAAAGTTTGGGGGGGGAGCCCTGGGGGGGCCCTTGTAAAAACCCTGCCCCTGTTTTAGAAAAGGGCTTAAACCAAAAAGAGGCTGGGGGGGCCAGATTCTCCCTGGGGGAACCCCCTGGCTGAAAACTTTTTAAACCCAGGTGCTTCCCTGACAGCAAGCCAAGGGGGTTTTGAAAATGAACGCACCCCCTTCCCGCCCTCAGCCCTTAACTGCGCCCCAAAACCCCCTCCCCAACCAGACCTCGAGCTGGGCTCTTAGAATCCAGCCCTGAGAGGGCTCAGCAAAGAAACAGAGAGTCAGGGCCCCCCCCAACCCGGGCGGCTGTGCAGCCACTCAGCCCCCGGGAGAGCCCCCTTGAGCGGGCAGAGGCCTCTGCTCCCATATGGGAGGCGGGAGATGCTAGCGCCTGCTCACCCGGCACAGAGATGCCACGGCTGCTTATGACCAAGCGCCCCAGGAATTACCAAGACCCAAACTCACAGGGCGTCATCCGTCTGCTGCCCCACCCCGGAAATCCAGGGACTTGCTGATTCCGGCAGAACCCTGCTAGCAGCCCAGGCCTCCCTCCCTGAGCCCAGTGGTCCGTGGTCCAACATCCTTCGCACTCTGTGTCCGTGAGTGGCGCATCCTACAAACCACCGTCATGGAGATGCACCAAGGGCCTGGGCTTGCGGGTGACACAGACACAGACGCAGAAGAGCCGGACCAGGCAGAAGGCGGTGGCTGGCCGGGGGCAGGGACTGTCAGGAGCTGTCAGCGCGGGGGCCCCTCGGTGACAGCGGCAGGCCGGGGTGCACACCCCCATTCTCCACACCTCACGGGTAGCACCCCCTGCTTTCCTGTCCCTACAGAAATGGTGCTTCTCCGTGGGACGCCGTGCAGTCCCCATGGCCGGCCCTGCCCTCACCCAGCAGGCCTGGCCGGCCCGAGAATGTGCGTTTTGAACAAGCTGACCCAGGCTCTGACCCTCCCTGCTATGTCAGGCGAAATCCCTTTCCTTCCCAAGCCTCAGTTTCCCTCCTGGCCCGCCCAGTGTCCCATGGTGCCCCCTTGCCCTGCTGTGCAGCGCCCACAAGCTAATGCCACCTACAGGCCTGTCACGGGGGAGCCGTGAGACCACAGCCCTCAGGAGAGATGCACAAGGGACTCGTCTTTACTGTTCCAATGGATAAAAACCTTCCCAGTTTCTGGAAGGGAGAGGGAAACGAAAGGGGCGCCCCGAGGGTACCGCTGGGCAGGTTACCTTCAGAACCGCCATCTTCCCGAGGCAGCTCAGGGGTCTGAACCTCAGAGAGGAAAGCTGCGCCCGGGAGAACAGGACTAATGACGCAAAAAAAAAAAAAAAAAAAAAAAAAAGAGGAATCCGAGGAAGGGGCCAAACGCAAAGCCCGTGGCTGGTCTGGCAGCAGGACGCTCTGTACATCTCAGGTGTCGGAGCAGATCCTGGAGGGACTTGCTGAAGGGGAGCTGACGGCGTGCTCTTAACCCCGGTGCAGCGAAACAGCACGTTGGGCGGGGGGCGAGTGGCTGCGAACGGGGTTTGGCTGGGATCTGAACTCAGGAAGCACAGTGCAGCGTCGGGGGACTGTCATGGTTCCTTACCCGCGCAAGGCGTGCCCATCACCCTAACGTCTGGGCTGCAGCAGGGGCTCTTGTCTCAGAGCGAGCGAGCGAGCGAGCGGGAAAGATTTCACAGCTGACACAGCGAGCAGCAGTGAGCATGCGAGCCAAGTGTGACGGAAGGCGTGTGCACCTGACAGGCCGGGCTGCGAAGGTCCAAGAGCATTCAGACGGGCTCGTGAGGGAATGGGGGGCCAGTTCTCCCCGCCGTCTCCTGCTGGACAGAAGAGGGCTTGCAGGGTGTGGAATAGGTGAAACTCCTCCCAAGGTTTCCTTGCCCCGTGTTGTCAGACTGGGGAACCCTCTTGACACTGGCAGAGATACTTCTCCTGGGGTGCTTTTCTCGGAGGGAGAGGCTGGGACCACCTGTACAATGACTGCAGTGGGAAATGCTGGGGTTCGCCCAAGGCTGCTGTGTTCCTCTCTGCAGGGGCTCTGTTTTCTGTGGGCCCCTTTCATTTCCTATCCTCCTACCTGACACGCTTGGTAAGGCACCTGCACCCACATCCCGCTGTTACAAGAATGGGACGCCTCCTCCTGCCCCTGACCTGTTTGCACGAAGTCTCTGGGACTTGGTCAGGATCTAGGGCCACGGGGAGCAAGCACAGCCTTGTCTGCGCCCTGGCAAACCCATCTCAGATGGAAAGGAGGTACAGGGAGCCACAGACCTCGAGCAGGAAGCCTGCCTCCCCGAGTGAGCTTCCAGCGGCTGCTGCACAGCGCTACTCGGGCCTGGATGTGCACACTCATCCCCAGGGTACCTGTCAGGAGACGAATGTTGACGCAGTAGGTCTCGGCAGCCCTGACACACTGCAGTTGTAGCAAGCTCCTGGTACTCTGTTTTGAGCTGCTGTTGAAGTCCTGATGATTCTGCCCCGCATTGTTCCTGGGATCGCCACAAGGGGGCGCTCTTCCAATGCCACAGCCATAGGCACCCTCGTTGACAGCTCTAGAACCAATGCACAATTCATTTTTTTTTGTTATTGTTAAGATTTATGTATTGGGGCCGGCGCTGTGGCATAGTGGATAAAGCTGCCTCCTGCAGTGCCAACATCCCATATGGGCGCTGGTTCGTGTCTCGGCTGTTCCACTTCCCATCCAGCTCTCTGCTATGACCTGGGAAAGCAGTAGAAGATGGCCCAAGTCCTTGGGCCTCTGCACCTGTGTGGGAGACCCAGAAGAAGCTCCTGACTCCTGGCTTCAGATCAGTGAAGCTCTGGTCATTACGGCCAACTGGGAAGTGAACCAGCAGATGGAAGATCTCTCTCTCTCTCTCTCTCTCTCTCTCTCTCTCTCTTTCTCTCTCTCTGCCTCTCCTTCTCTCTGTGTATGTAACTCTGACTTTCAAATAAATAAACAAATCTTTAAAAAAAGATTTGTTTATTTATTTGAAAAGCATAGTTGCAGAGATCCAGAGGCAGAGAGAGAGAAAGAATGAGAAAGAAACACAGAGAGACAGAGAGAGGTCTTCCATCCCCTGGTTCACTCCTGAAATGATTGCAATGGCCGGAGCTGTGCTGATCCGAAGCCAGGAGCCTGGAGCTTCTTCCAGGTTTCCCACGTGGGTGCAGGGCCCCAAGCACTTGGGCCATCTACTGCTGCTTTCCCAGGCCACAGCAGAGAGCTGGATGGGAAGTGGAGCATCCGACACCCAAACTGGTGCCCCTATGGGATGCCGGCACTGCAAGGCGGAGGCTTTACCCACTATGCCACAGCGCCAGCCCCACAACTCATTCTTAAAAGTCCAAGCTGTTTACTCTCTGTAGAGAATGCAGGGCGGCGTATCTATAAATGTGTGGATTAACACACCTCAAAGACGCCACTGCATCCTGCCCTCACTGAGTCACAGTGTAACTCCAGTGAGCCTTATGCTTACAGCCCACTGCGCACCTGCAGCCCCGCTCACCGCACATCTACCTCCCGCATCCGGGCCTGGAGAGCTCGCCCGTCCCCGCACTGTCCTTTCTACGCACCACACACTTCTCATGCAGAAACACCTGCTGTTCCCTGGAACTACAGCTTTCACCAGCCGCATCGTCCACCTGCTCGTTATGGAGGAGTCCACAGGCAGGCGTGTGGCAGGGAAGGCGGCTCAGCCATGATCGTCCTCCGCAGAAGCCAGCCTGGGGAAATGTTTCCGTCTGACAGTCCCAGGCAGCCCGAGGAGTGGGAAGCAGCACGCACGGGGACAGAGGGACACCCCCCAGACGCATGCATTCTGATGGGCGCTGAGTTCTTTCTCATCTGAGCAGAGTGGAATCTGGCAGGGCAGGCTGTGCGGGGGGGGGGGGGGGCTTGGCACGCTGTTGGGGAGGGCAGGGGCAGTCTGCAATCAGGGGACAGCGAGACCCCACCTCTCGCCCCCCTTGTCTGCTGGAGGGCAGGTGGCATGTAACTGTGGACAGAACAGACCAAGTAAGCAGCTCATTGTTTTAAATAACTGCTCAGGGCAGTTTCTTTTCATCGTTTGCCACAAACACACTCCTGTCACTTGCCTGCGACACAGCTGCAGCTGGGGAACAGAGTGGAGCTCCAGCCCTGGCCGCCAGGCTGCAAGCCCCGCGCTCTCGGACGGGGTTCTCGGTCGGCTGTGGCTGTGGCTGTGGCTGAAGCCTGCGTGTCCTCTGCTCCCAGGGCCTGGTGCTGGGTGCCCTGGGGAAGCACTGGACCTCCTGCAGGTTCCCCAGAGGCCCTGGGGGCCACCGCAGGGAAGGGTGGAGTGGAGCCCTGGGGACCTACAGGAGGTGGAGCTGGGGCTGTGGGGGCAGATGCTGAGGCATCTAGCTTCGGCGCTGGCATTTTGACAGACGGCCAGTCCTTCGTCTTAGTTCACAGGAAAACTCCAGTGCCCACTCTGTGTCTTTAGCACCATCATCTGTAAGTCTTTTTGTTCAAAGAAGAACCCTGAGGGGGTGGCTTGTGGCATAGTGAGTTAAGCCGCTGCCTGCAATGCCGGCATCCCATATGGGCACCGGTTCAAGACCCGGCTGCTCCACTTCCAATCCAACTCCCTGCTGATGCACCTGGGAAAGCTCAAGCACCTGGACCCCTGCCACCCGCGGGGAGGTGGGGGTGTCGGGATGAAGCTCTGGGTTCCTGGCTGTGGCCTGGCTCAGCTCTGGCTGGTGAGGCCATCTGGTGAGTGAACCAGCGAATGGAAGACTTTCTCTCTGTGTCTCTCCCCCCCTCTCTCTAACTCTGCCTTTCAAATAAATAGAAACAAACAAGAACGCTGAGAGAGCAAAGTCTCTTTAGGAATTAGACACCCTAAGAAGTAAAAATATCTCCTTCCCCGGCCCCTGCCTCCGGCCAGTCCCTCCACTGTGGCCTCTGACCCTGACCCCAGAGGTGACATCGTTCCCCTTGCAGGTGTGGGAGCCACGTCGGGAGCTTCTGCCCACTTCCCCAGCACCGCTGGCAGCAGCACGCTGTCTCCCTTCCAGCACGCCCACAAAGGTAAGGCGAGTGCGCAGGCGCTGGTCCTCTGGGATGAGGGGCTGGGCTGGCGCCAGGAGGAGGGAGGGCGGTGGGCACAGCGATGGGCTCTTCCGGTCTCCACCGCAGGCCACACCCCCCGCGGTGGGCGTTAGTGACCGGCTCTGTAGTGCTGCCCCTCCCAGGAGGTGCCGGGAACAGAGGCGCATTCCGGGCTGGGAGGTGGGGTGCCCCTGTGCCCCGCGCCGCCGCAGAACTGGGCCCCTGGGTTCCCGTTCGGCAGGGAGCCAGTAGCAGTTCTGTTGCTGGCGTTCCTGCGAACCTATAAACCTTCCCACTTGCCTGTTCCTTTGCTGTAATCGCATCTCATTCTGCCTAACCCAATAAGGGGCGCAAAGACTGCACCAGCCCCCCGAACCGACTCTCTCTTAGAGTAAACCCCCAAGCCGACACGGCTTTAACACCTTCCTCCCCGGAGCCCACTGTGGGCCCGGGTCTCAGTGAGGCTCCGGGACACCTTGAAGGGCCCAAGGAGCCCCTGACACAGTGGCCCGGAGCACGGGCGCGACACTGGGCTGGGACATCACGCACCTCACTCCCTCCAGGACCGGGGAGGGGGCGGGGTTGGAGCCCAGAACCTGGAGAGTGGTAAGGCATTGTGTCACCCCTGAAACAGGTGCCCCCAAACAACGCCCAGGAGGCTTGGTGCCATGTGGCTCCCTCAGATAACCCAGGCCCCCCAGTGATGTGTCCCCTGCGCGTCAGGGTGGCGGTCATCAGGATTCGGCTTCCTGACACCCAGGGTCCAGTTTGGTTACTTTAGAGAATTAGAACAAACTTCAGTGTGCAAAGGACAGCCCACCTGGCCCTGCCGTCCCCAGAGCAGTGGAACCAAGAGCGAGGGAGGGAGCCCAGACCCTGGTTGTCCCCACAGGAGGGCAGCGAGGGCACCTGCAGCATGTGGCGGCCAAGGCACACTGACTGCCGGCTGCGGTCTCAGCCCCACAAGCACTTCCGGGGAGGGCGTGGCTGGAGGAGGGCCCTGCGCTGAGTGACACGCCTGCTTGTCTCCCTGCCACAGCAGAGCTCACAGGCCAAGGCCACCTGGCCACCGCCCTGATCATCGCCATGTCCACCATCTTCATCATGGCCATCGCCATCGTGCTCATCATCATGTTCTACATGGTGAAGACCAAGCCCTCCGCCCCAGGTGCGCGCCCGCACCCTCCCCGCGCGCCCGCCCCTCCCCCTCTCCCAGGACGCAGGGCCCGGCCGCTCACCCTGCCCCACCCCCTCTCCCACCAGCCTGCTGCAGCAGCCACCCAGGGAAGAGCGTGGAGGCCCCCGTGAGCAAAGAGGAGGAGAAGAAGGAGTCTCCAGGTCTGTGCCCACCCCCGAGGCAGGCCCCCAGCAGGTGCCCCACTCCACCCCGCGCGGCCATCCTCACTCCTCCCGCCCCCCACCTCTGTTCCCTTAGACAACGTGGTGATTTTCTCGGAGAAGGACGAGTTCGAGAAGCTCACAGCAACTCCAGCCAAGACCACCAAGAGGTAGGTGTGTGACGCCTGCTGGGCCTTGCCGCAGGCTGGTCGCTGGGCTGAGCACACGCCCCGTGGAGCTGGCGCGCCTGGACTCAGGGCTGTACTGGGGATCCCCCCACCCCGCAAAAGCAGGGCCTGGCACCAGGCTGCAACGTGTGCCACTTACACTGAACCCTGCTCAGCCCCGCGGTTCAGCCCCTGGGCTGACGGGGACCGGGTGTGTGAGCGGCAGGTGTCAGGCCCCCCTCCCCAGCTCCTGCGGGTGCCCTGGGCCTCGATGACTCCCAGAGCCTTCCGGGGCCCTTCTCCAAACCGTGGGGAGAACATAAGGCACGGACACACGTGACTGAGTCCCCCACCCACCCCCGCGACCCCTGCGCCTTCGGAGTCGTGCCATAGCACAGCTTTGAAATCAGGCTATACGAGAAGTCTTCAGAGAGCTCGCGGGAAGTGTGCATTAGGAAAAGACTCTGCACGGATCCTTAAAGTTTCTGCAGCCGAATCTGCTTGTCGTTTAACTCCATATTCCCTGAGCTGTGGAAGCAGGGTCCCGCTGACTCCCCGTGTCTGCTCGCACGGTACAGCACCCGGCGCTCGCTCCTGTCTCACGGGCGCAGGGAGACTGACTCACGAAAGCCTTGCTCAGGGAAATGCATTAGCTAATTAACTAGTCAGACCCTCCTACTGGGGTTGTTTCCTGTAAACTCCTCCTCCCAATTGATGGTGTTTCAGAACTGGGGATCTAAGCTCTCCCATACACTCACTGGCAAACAGTGCCAGACCCGAGCTGCCGCCCCAGAACCAAGCTTTTGATTTAAAGATTTATTGATTTGAAAGGGAGAGTTACAGAGAGGGAAAGAAGGAGAGACAGAGAGAGAGGTTCCATCCGCTGGTTCACTTCCCAAATGGCTGCAACAGCCAGGGCTGGGCCAGGCCGAAGCCAGGAACCAGGAGCTTCATCCGAGTCTCCCACATGGGTGCAGGGCTGCAGGTGCTTGGGCCATCTTCTGCTGCCTTACCAGGCGCATTAGCAGGGAGCTGGATTGGAAGTGGAGCAGCTGGGATTTGATCCGGTGTCCATATGGGGAAGCCCGTACTGCAGACTGTGTCGTAACCCGCTTTGCCACAGTGCAGTCCCAGCCCCAGTGTGTGACTCAAACAAGGCCTCGATACAGACGGTACTTCCTGCAGCCTCCAGCCCCACGTGATCCCATCTGTCTCAGCCTCTTCCCTTTTGCTGTTTGGCTTCCCCTATGCCCGCACATAGGCAAAAGGCGGCGGTGGGGTGGGTGTTTGGCCTAGCGGTTAATAGAAGCCCTACACTGGAGCTCCTGGGGCGGATACCCAGCTCTGGCCGCTGACTCCAGCTTCCTGCTAGCGCAGACCTGGGACAAAGTGACAATGGCTCAAGTAATTGAGTCCCTGCCACCCACGCGAGAGACCCAGACTGAGTTCCTGGCTTTGGCCAGGCCCGGCCCCAGCCATTGTGGACATCTGGGGAGTGAAACAGCAAATGGGATGATAGCTTGCTCACTCTCTCTCTGTGTCTCTCTCAATTATACATATATATACACACATATATGTGTGTGTGTTATATGTGACGTATATATGTGACATTTATGTATATGTGACATTTTTATATATATGACATTTTAAAGGGCAGGGACTATTAGGGACCCTACTTAGAAAAATATGTACTGATTCCATACGCAAAGACTAAATGAAGGTTAAAACCTGAAAACTGTGCTTTCAAGACCACAAGAGCTTTTGTGCCCAGCGTCCATGGTGAGGTTCTGGAGACAGGACCTGGGGGGCTGCGTGGTGGTCTGGGGAGGGGGTGCTGTTCCACAGGGTGTGGGGTTGGGGGGCAGGCCAGCTGAGGGTGCCCAGGAGGCCTCCAAGGAAGAGGGGTCCGCGGGGGCTTCGTGGCTTCCACTTCCGCTGTGCTGCGCCATCCCCTGGGCCGTGTTTGCACGCGGGCCTCCTTCTTGGAACCCCAGTGCCAGCACGTGCATCCTCTTGGGTAAACGTCTTCAGCCAAACCACAGGAACCAAGCAAGGTGGCCTATTAAAAAAAAAAGAAGAAGAATATAGCTTTCACATATATGGGGTGGTTTTGAGAGTGCAGGGAGGGCTGGCCCTGGGTCCTGTGTGGACCCCGCAGTGCGTGGTGCTGTGACAAGAGACCGTCCACCCTGCCCCTCCCCCCAGCAGGGTTTGCCATGTCCCCTCCCCCACTCTGAGATGAGGTCACAGCTCAGGGCTCTGCCCAGCCCAGCAGCTACCCCCTCTCAGCGCCAGCTTGTGGCTCGCTTAACAGGACTCAGAGGGATGACATGTAGAATCCAGAACGTGGTCAGTGAGTGCGCCTGTGCCGGGCAGCCTCCATGAGTCAGGGGTGGGGGGAGCCCCAGCCCCTCTGACCTCCCCCCCCAGCACGCTCTTGGGAGCCCCCATACACCTGCAGCTCAGCCTGTACCCAAGTCACTGTGTGCAGAGAGAGGCGTTGTCTTTCTCAGCTGGACTCCTCTCGCCCAGTGCCCAGGAGGAGCAAGCTGGCGCCCCCTGCTGCCCACACCAGGGCTGGAACTTTCCAGACGCCGCTGACCAAGCGTCCCCTTTTTGCTTCCGCAGCGAGAATGACGCCTCGTCGGAGAACGAGCAGCTGCTGAGCCGCAGCGTGGACAGTGATGAGGAGCCCGCCCCGGACAAGCAGGGCTCCCCAGAGCTGTGCCTGCTGTCTCTGGTCCACCTGGCCCGGGAGAAGCCCGCCTCCTGCAGCAAGGCAGCCGGGGTGAGCCCGCGCCCCAGACAGCGCCTTTCTCCTCCTTGTACTGCCCCCTTCCCCCACCAGGGCGTCCCCCACAAGTCCACTGCAGTGAATAAGAGGGTGCTTCAGAGAGGCCACGGAATCTGGAAGGAAAAATGTTTATTTTGGTGCTAAAATATTTGAAATTCATTCATAGTTTTTTTGTAAAGATTTATTTATTTATTTGAAAGTCAGAGTTACACAGAGAGAGGAGAGGCAGAGAGAGAGGTCTTCCATCTGCTGGCTCACTCCCCAGATGGCTGCAATGGCCAGAGCTGTGCCAATCCAAAGCCAAGAGCCAGGAGCTTCTCCCGGGTCTTCCACGTGGGTGCAGGGGTCCAAGGACTTGTGCCATCTTCTACTGCTTTCCCAGGCCATAGCAGAGAGCTGGATGGGAAGTGGAGCAGCTGGGACTTGAACCACTGCCCAGATGGGATGCTGGCACTGCAGGTGGCAGCTTTACCCACCATGGGATAGTTTTTCGTATGATGCATTTTCCTCATGGAAATCCCCAGGCATTTTGAAGACACCTACCCAATAAGACAATTTCCTACCTAGATGTATTTCTTGTATGCATCTTTTTTTTTTTTTTTTTTTTTTTTTTTTTTTTTTTTTTTTTTTTTTGACAGGCAGAGTGGACAGTGAGAAAAAAAAACAGAAAAAAAGGTCTTCCTTTGCCGTTGGTTCACCCTCCAATGGCCGCCGCGGCCAGCGCGCTGCGGCCGGCGCACCGCACTGATCCGATTGCATCTTGAATATAAATATATAATTGTCTAGGGGTTTTGTCACCTAGGGCAGGCCACCCTGGGATGTGCCAAGACAGGAGCCGGGGGCTCCCTGAGGACCCAGCTGGCGCCCAGCCAAGCCACAGGCAGCCATGATGGCAATGCCCCTGATGGTCAAAATGCCCAGCTGGGATCTGGGTGTGGCTGGGTCCTGCCAGGACGCCCGCCGTGCTCAGAGCCACCTCCGTGGGGACCCTGGAGGCCTACGTGGTTGTTACCAGGCAGAGGGGTGGCCGTGGGCCACTCAGCGCCTGTCAGCATGGCCCCAGGAGGAGCGGAGAGGATGCGTGTCTCTGCGCCAGCCGATTCTCTGAAGACTAACTTTCTCCTCACTTTCTTCACAGATCCAAAGCCGAAGGAAAAAGATACTGGATGTGTATGCCAACGTATGTGGGGTGGTAGAAGGTGAGTGTGCAGGGGCTCCCCTGGCCTGCCCCCAGCGTCCGTGTGGGAAGGGGGCTCCGGCCTTGCCCAGGGGGACCCGACTGCCTGTCAGGCAGAGGCTGGCCCCCAGCCCTGCTGAGGCGACCCCAGGTTTGCTCCTCACAGCACAGAAGGTGGTCCTGGCCCGGGTCATTGTGGGGCCACGCGGGGGCAGGGCATGGTGGCATTGTCACCTGGGGAACAGCCGGCACCAGTGGGCAGCAGCCTTCGCTCCCGCCATGGGCTCACAGTGTCCCGGGGCTTCAGCGTTTGTGGAACATAGAATGAAAAAAAGCAGTTTATTTTGCTGCAAAAAAAAAAAAAAATCATGCGTTGTTTTGTGATACACGTTTTCTCTGAGCTCTCTTAATACTGCATGCATGTGTGGATTTCAAAAAAAAAATTCTTGCACCAAAATAAATGTATCTTTAGATTCCATTTCCCATGAACCTTTTGAAGGACCCTCCTGTAACAAGGGAAGGGGCTTCACACCTCCCTCCCAAAGCCACCTCCCCAGCACCGTAACACAGGCCTCACCTGAGATACACCTGCCGCAGACAGGTGGGAGGTAACAAGACCGGGGCGCAACCATGCCAGTCAGAAGGTGCCGTCTCGGGCTCCCAGCGGCGGCACGATCCAGTCTGTAACTCACCTTCTGTTCGCCCCGAAGGTGACCTCGCTGAGGTCAGGGGATTTTCCCACTTCCTGTCTGGCTGGCGGCCGTCGGCGGCCTCCATTCCGCGGGTGGGTTGTGCCTGGACAGGCTGCTCGGGCCGCTGCTGGCCAGAACTAAGCGCTGAGGGTGAGTCGCAGGGCCAGCATTTCCCCCTGGCTGCCTGCCGAAGCGTGGCCTCCCTCCAGACACGCAAGCCCTGTCGGCCTGCCCATCGAGCCTGGCGGAGCGGGGCTGGCAGCTGCCCATGGGAGCATGGACCTGGAGCTCACGCCCCATCACCTTGGAAAGGGCTTTGCGTCCCAGAGACTGCGGCTTTCAGATTCATTGGGGGGAACTCACAAGCGAGAGGGACCCCCTGCCCCAGGGAGCCCAAGCATGTATTTCCCATAATCCTGCAATGATACTGATGCCCAGCCCCCCTCCCGCCCCAGGACCCTGATGTAAGGGGTCAGCCCCAGGCGCCAAAGGCTTTTGGGCTTTAAACTTTTTTTTTTAATAAAGGTTTATTTATTTGAAAGGCGTTCAAGTGACAGAGAGAGGGAGGAGAGAGGTCTTCCATTCACTGGTGCACCGCCCGGATACCAGCAACAGCCGGGGCTGGGCCAGGCCAAAGCCAGGAGCCTGGAACTCCATCTGGGTCTCCCATGTGGGTGGCGGGAACACAAGTACTTTTTCCCCCCCTTTAAATGTTTTTTTTTTTTTTTGATTATGAAAAACGTCACAGAAATGCAATACCAGAGATTGCACAAGGAATCCCGTATCCCACTCCCCGGCCTGGAATTATTCTCAGGCAAATCCCAGCCCCCTCCTTTTTTTTTTTTCAATTCCGGCCCCATAATGTAGGGAACACAAAACACTAGGATGCTTGAGCCATGCTAGTCAGCCTCCAGGTGCATTAGCAGGAAGCTGGATCGGAAGCGGGATCTAAGCCAGGAGTCTAACCAGGCTCTCTGACATGGGATGCGGGCACCGCACGCAGGGGTCCAAGCCCCTGGCCCACCGCGCCTGCCCCCAGGTAGACGTTTTAATGTGAGATTGTTCTCCCGTGCAGTGGGAAAGCACACGGAGAGCCCCTGTGCCCTTGGCCAGGTTCCCCCGAGCAGAGCATCTTGCAGATCCGGGGTGGGGGGGATGGAGGTCCTTGCCACCGCCCCCCAGATTTCTCCCTGGCTCTGCTCCCTCCCTCCCCACCCCCTTCTTAGCTCCTGGCAGCTGCCAGTCTGTGTTTCCATGATTGTGTTACTTCAAGACTGTTAGGAAAGCTGGGTGGGCATTTGGCTCAGTGGTTGAGACGTTGCTTGGGAAACCCACATTCCACATCAGGGTGCCTGGGTTCAAATCCCAGCTCGGCTCCCAACTCCAGCCTGCTGCCGCGGTGCATGCTGGGAGGCAGCAGGTGAGAGCTTAGGGACGCGAGTATCTGGGCCACCCATTTGGGAGCCCCGGATTCAGTTCCCAGCTCCTGTCTTCAGCCTGGCCCAGCCCCGGCTGTTGCAGGCATTTGGGGAGTCTCTTGACCGTTTGCGGCATCTGACCGTGGCCTGGTCTCCCTAGGTCTCAGTCCCACGGAGCTGCCATTTGACTGTTTGGAGAAAACCAGCCGGATGCTGAGCTCCACGTACAACTCCGAGAAGGCCGTGGTGAAAACCTGGCGCCACCTGGCCGAGAGCTTTGGACTGAAGCGAGACGAGATCGGCGGCATGACGGACGGGATGCAGCTCTTCGACCGCATCAGCACCGCGGGCTACAGCATCCCGGAGCTGCTCACCAAGCTGGTGCAGATCGAGCGGCTGGACGCCGTGGAGTCCTTGTGCGCGGACATACTGGACTGGGCGGGGGCCGTGCCGCCTGCTTCCCAGCCCCCCATTGCGTCCTGAGGAGCCCTGCCTGGGGACTGTCCTCCCTGGGACGAGCCTAGGATCTGCCGAGGCCCTCGGGAGCCGTGAGCGGTGCCAACAGACTTCCAGGATAGGAGAGGGCTTCTTCATCATGGCGCCGCACGCCCGAGGCTGCTCTGAGGAGCAGAAGGGAAGTGAGGCGTGTCCTGCAGTGTAACCACAGAGAAAGGATTAAAGCCGGGTCCTTCCAGGGACCTCCCGGGGCGGGGGCAGAATGGGAATCTGCTCATTCGCCGGCCAGCCCACTGTGAATTCCTCGGGAGGCAGAAGTCCACGAACCACTTTGCCGGAGGCCACCACACCCATTGAATGAGGGCTGCAAACAGGAGGAAGGCGCCATCTAAGGGGCACGTGGTGTCCCCCCCCCCCCCCAGCTACACCCCGGGCAGTCCAAGGCGGCCGCGCTCAGGAGGAAGCCTTGGTAAAACAGCCGTGAGATGCCAGCCGCTGCTCCGGGTACCGACTCAGGTTCAGCGTGGTCTGTTCCTGTTGGTGGTGTCAGTGGGATATGTTACCTGTCCCGAGGGCACCCCAACTCCCAGGGGCCTTCCAGGCAAGGAAGGAGGAGCTCGCCCATCCATACCCAAGGCACCTAGCGCTGTGCGGTGGCCAAGATCGTCATGCAGGAGCCCCACACCCAGGAGCTGACAGGGTAGGCCTGACGCTCGGGGCCTTCGGCAGAGTACAGGAGTGACCAGCGCTGTCTAGATACAGAGGTGGCCAGGTCCTAGGCGGACAGCCAGGCATCCATCTGGAGTGTGAGATGGTGGAGGAGCCTCAGGGCATGAGGGTCCAGCCGGTCTTGTGAGCTGGCCAAGGACAGCGGCTCCTGGGCTTGGGGTCCGGGGAGCAGGGCTCTGGCCGGGCCACTCGGCGCCATTCCTCCTCTCCTCCCTCAGCCTCCGTTTGCATTCTGCAAAAGCGCCATTCCTCCTCTCCTCCCTCAGCCTCCGTTTGCATTCTGCAAATCAGAGGTTAGCCCAGGAGTCTGTGTAAGCAGGGAGCCGTTCAGGTGAGCCGAGACGCGGCAGAGCTGCAGGAAAGTCCAGGCCTTGACGCGTCCCGTGGGAGCGAACCCAGCAAAACTCACCGCTGGGTGCCCGCAGGAGCCGCAAGTGTGGGACTTCAGGCTTAAGAGGTGAAGTGAACAACCCAGCACTCTGGGCAGCCTCCCGGTTACACCTGGGCCGGCCACAGCCTGGTGGGGGGCTGATGTGGACTTGCTGCCTGCAGAGTTCCCACGCCAGGCCCCCACCCCCCAACCCCGCGATGGCTGCTAAAGGAGAACAGAGCACTGTGTTGAGAATCACAAGTCCCAGGCCCGCGCCCAGAGGCTCCGGGGAAATCGGGAAATCGGTCAGATGTTCAAAGGCAATGAGCAATTTCCGGCCGTGAGCGTAGGACACACTGGGGGGGGGGACCCTGGCGAGGTGCTGAATGCGTAACCTCAGCATTGACCGTGTCTGTGTGCTGCTGTGTTTTTTTTTTTTTTTCCCGAATCTCTTTGGCATCTCCTGCAAGCTAGAACTCCCCCACGAAGCTTAATTAGCCCGCGAATTCCTCCCTGGATCCTGCGGCGCGCCTGCCCCTGCTTTGCGGCAACGCTGCTGCGAGTCTCCCCTAAGTACACGGCACACGGCACAGGCCGGGAGGAGCAGCTTCCTTCCTCCTCGGAACCGAGAAGCGGTCTGCAGGCCGGGAGGGGCCTCGCCCCCGCTCGGGCCACGGGCTCCCCTGGGCTTCCTAGGCAGCAAGTTCTTCTGGGCTCCGCGTCCCTCGGTCGTTTCCGGATCTGCAAACAAATCCCGGAGAGCTGTGCTCCCAGGAGTGTCCACAGGCCACAGGATGCCGGGCGTGGCGTGCCTTTGTGACACCTGAACCATTCAGAAGCTCCCCACCCCCTCAAGGCTAGGTGTGTGGCCAGTGAAGTCTGAATTGTCAATATTTGTGTCTCATTCTGTATAGATAACTTATTCTATTTTATAATCTCAATAAACTTGCAGATGAGCACTGTGGTGTAAGCTGTGTGTGTGTGTGTGTGTGTGTGTAAGGGAGGAAGCTCCGTGTGTGTGTGTGTGTGTGTGTGTAGGGGAGGAAGCTCCATGTGTGTGTGTGTGTGTGTGTGTGTGTGTAGGGGAGGAAGCTCTGTGTGTGTGTAGGGGAGGAAGCTCCGTGTGTGTGTGTGTGTGTGTGTAGGGGAGGAAGCTCCGTGTGTGTGTGTGTGTGTAGGGGAGGAAGCTCCGTGTATGTGTGTGTGTGTGTGTGTAGGGGAGGAAGCTCTGTGTGTGTGTGTATGTGTGTAGGGGAGGAAGCTCCGTGTGTGTGTGTGTGTGTGTGTGTAGGGGAGGAAGCTCCGTGTGTGTGTGTGTGTGTAGGGGAGGAAGCTCCGTGTGTGTGTGTGTGTGTGTAGGGGAGGAAGCTCCGTGTGTGTGTGTGTGTGTGTAGGGGAGGAAGCTCCGTGTGTGTGTGTGTGTGTAGGGGAGGAAGCTCCGTGTGTGTGTGTGTGTAGGGGAGGAAGCTCTGTGTGTGTGTGTAGGGGAGGAAGCTCCGTGTGTGTGTGTGTGTAGGGGAGGAAGCTCTGCGTGTGTGTGTGTGTGTGTGTGTGTGTAGGGGAGGAAGCTCCATGTGTGTGTGTGTGTGTAAGGGAGGAAGCTCCGTGTGTGTGTGTGTGTGTAGGGGAGGAAGCTCCGTGTGTGTGTGTGTGCACATGTGTGTGTAGGGGAGGAAGCTCCGTGTGTGTGTGTGTGTGTGTGTAGGGGAGGAAGCTCCGTGTGTGTGTGTGTGTGTAGGGGAGGAAGCTCCGTGTGTGTGTGTGTGCACATGTGTGTGTAGGAGGAAGCTCCGTGTGTGTGTGTGTGTGTGTGTAGGGGAGGAAGCTCCGTGTGTGTGTGTGTGTATAGGGGAGGAAGCTCCATGTGTGTGTGTGTGTGCACATGTGTGTGTAGGAGGAAGCTCCGTGTGTGTGTGTGTGCACATGCATGTGTAGGGGAGGAAGCTCCGTGTGTGTGTGTGTGTGTGTAGGGGAGGAAGCTCCGTGTGTGTGTGTGTGTAGGGGAGGAAGCTCCGTGTGTGTGTGTGTGTGTGTAGGGGAGGAAGCTCCGTTTGTGTGTGTGCACATGTGTGTGTAGGGGAGGAAACTCCACGTGTGTGTGTGTGTGTGCACATGCGTGTGTAGGGGAGGGGATGGGAGGTGGGGGGCAGCCCTGATCCCTCGGCCCCGGCCCCTGCAGTTGGGTGCCGGTGATCAGTTGCAGGTGAAGGGTCTAAAACGTGCGGCCTGGGCCAGTCGCGTGTGCAACCCCCTGGAGCGCTGCTCTCCAAATTGCAGGCATTGGTTCTGGGGTGGCCGAGCCCTCAGCTCCCAGCGTGCAGCCAGCTGCGGCCCGATGCACGGTTGTCCACGCCTGCAGCTCAGCTGACCTGGCTGGGGCCTCTGCCTCCTGGGCCCCTTGCCTGGGCCGCTCTGCCCCTGTCTTGATCAGCGTCGCCCTCAGCCAGTCAGCGAGCCCAGGCGCGTGCCGGTCTTGGCGCTGACACTGGTGTTTCAGAGCACAAGGCCCAGCTCAGAACTGGCGGCGGCCATGTCCACCTCGTCCCACCAGCCAAACCTGAGGCAACAGGCTGCGTCCCGTTCGCCTGAGCAACCACGCAGCCCAGTGGCGAGGGGCGTGGGTATGGGAAAGTGAAACGGGCAGAGAGCACAGAATTCCACAGGCAAAGCAGCTGCCTCTGGCTATTGTATTAGATCACCACAAAACAGGGCCAGCACTGCGGCATAGTGGGTAAAGCTGCAGCCCGAGACGCCAGCTTCCCATATGGGCGCCGGTTCGAGTCCCAGCTGCTCCACTTCCAGTCCAGCTCCCTGCTAATGGCCTGGGAAAGCAGTGGAAGCTGGCTCAATCCCCGAACCCCTGTACCCACATGGGAGACCCGGAAGAAGCTCCTGGCTCCTCCCTTTAGCCTGGCCCAGCCCTGGCTGTTGTGGCTACATCTGGGGAGTGAACCAGCAGTTGGAGGGTCTCTCTGTGTCTCTCCCTGTCTGTAACTCTGACTTTCAAACTAAATACATCTTTAAAAATCAGTCACCGCAAAGTGGCTTCTAACAACGCACATGCATAGCTTTCCAGTCCAGAAGTCCCAGCGTCAAGGTGCTGGCAGGTGGCAATCCTTCGGGGCTTAGGAAGGGGGCCCACCCGCACGACCTCGTCCAGGCCCAGGCAATGGCGTCCCCGGGTGCACAGCTCCTGCATCTTCTAGGGCTATGGCTGCATCGCCGCCCTCCCCTCTGTCCTCACGTCTCCTGCCTGACCCTCCCCACCTCGTGTTCCACCTTCATGGACCCTTATGATTCCGCGGGGACCCCCGGCCAATCGCCCAGGGCAGGATCCTCCACCTGGGGCCAGGCGCAGTGGCACAGCCACAGGGGGACGAGGAGGTGACCATCTCTGCAGGATGTCCGGCTGCAGGGGCCACCCTCATGTGAAACCTCCTTTCCAGTTGGTCTTTTTTTTTTTTTAACTTTTTATTCATTTTTATTTTATTTGAAAAGCAGAGAGAGAGAGAGAGAGATCTTCCATCCACTAGTGTACTCCTGAAATGCCTACAACGGCTGAGACTGGGCCAGTTCAAGCCAGAAGCCTGGCATTCAGTCTGGTCTCCTCTGTGGGTGGCAGAGACCCGAGGACTTGAGCCCTTGCCTGCTGCCTCCCAGGGTGCACAGCAGCAGGAAGCCGGGACTGAAGTGGGACCAAACCACTAACCCAGGTACTCCAGCATGGGATGTGGGGGTCCCAATCCGTGGCGCTCTCGCTCTCTCTCTCTCTCTCTCTCTCATGTATTTTATTTATTTGAAAAGTAGAATGGGGCCCGGCGCTGTGGTATAGCGAGTAAAACCACCATTCTGCAGTGCCGGCATCCCATATGGGCGCTGGTTCGAGTCCTAGCAGCTCCACTTCCGATCCAGCTCTCTGCTGTGGCCTGGGACAGCAGTAGAAGTTGGCCCATGCCCTTGGGCCCCTGCACCCACGTGAGAGACCTGGAGGAAGCTCCTGGCTCCTGGTTTCGGATTGGCACAGCTCCAGCCATTGCAGCCATCTGGGGAGTGAACCAGTGGATGAAAGACCTCTGCCTCTCTCTCTGCCTCTCTTTCTCTCTCTCTGTAACTCTGACTTTCAAATAAATAAATCATAATAAAAGTAGAGTAATGGAGGACCACACACACACACACACACACGGTGGGGGGGGGGGCTCACTCCCCAAATAGCTGCCACAGCCAGGACTGAGCCAGGAACTCATCCTGGTCTCCCACGTGGGTGACAGGGCCCTTGCACCTGGGCCGCCCTCTGCTGCTTTCCCAGGCGCAGGAACAGGAACCTGGACTGACAGCAGAGCAGCCAGGATCCCCGCGTGATTGACAGCAGAGCAGCCAGGATCCCCGCGTGGGTTCCCATGTCACAAGCAGAGCTTCACCGGCGCCCCAGCTGCCAGCCCCTAACTGACACTCATCGCTGCATGCTGAGCAGCCCCAGCCCGACCCGAGCTGGTCTGCTTTGCTGTGCTGATGCAAGATTCCTGCTGAGGATTTTTTTTTTTCAATATTTATTTATTTTATTTGAAAAGCAGAGTTACAGAGAGGCAGAGGCAGAGAGAGAGAGAGAGAGAGAGAGGTCTTCCATCTGGTGGGTCACTCCCCAGTTGGCTGCAAAAGCTGGAGCTGCACCAATCCGAAGCCAGGAGCCAGGAGCCTCTTCCAGGTCTCCCACGTGGGTGCAGGGCCCAAGGCCCCGGGCCATCTTCCACTGCTGTCCCAGGCCACAGCAGAGAGCTGGATCGGAAGTGGGGCAGGATGCCGGCACTGCAGGCGGCGGCTTCTACCCACTAGGCTACAGTGCCGGCCCCCCGCCGGGGATTCTGAAAGGCAGGGTGGACAGCAGCACACTGCAAGACCTTCCGCCTCACAAGGAAGTGGCAGAAACGCAGGAGCCCCCGGTTTTGAGGCGGAGGGTGTCTCTTTATTCGGGCCATTGGCTGTGTAACATTTCCCAGGGATGCGTTCGCTTAGGCAGCAACAGCAGCGTTCGGGACCCGCAGGCGTTGTTGTCTCTGGGGACAGCTGGCGCCCTGACTGCACTCTGCCTCCTGGGCCGCAGATCTACCTTGGCGCTTCTCCCAGGACGCTGGGGTGTGCTGTGGATCAGGAAAACCTCTTACAGAACTTTGTCAGCCTGGAAAAGCCAACCTTGACCTCGTCAATCCCGTGAGCGTTTGACATTTCGTAGGTGTGACGTAAGAAACCTGTATTCCGTCTCTGCCCCGTTCCCTGGCACAGGGCTCTGAAACCCTTGCCACTAGCTAAGAGTGATCAGAGCCTCTTTTGTAGATGGAGTGAGGAGAGTGTGTCTTTGGTGTGCTGATGAGATGGGGCGGGGGCTGGGGAGCTCCAGGAAGGGGCTGGGTGCCTGAAGGCTGGGAGGGGAAGAGGGCTGGAGGCTGAGTCCAGTAACCAGTGGCCAGTGGCTTCAGCACTCGTGTCTGTGCGACCCAGTCTCCAGAGGAGCCTTCAACAGTGAGGTTAGAGAGCTTCTGGTTGGTGAGCACCTGGGGTCCCGGGACGGTGCCGCTTCCCCATTGCTTGTCCCTAGTACGTCTTCCTGCAATGGTTTACCTGGACTATCTTTTTTTATGAGAAACTGGTAAAGGTCAGGAAATGTCTCCGTGAGTGGTAGAGCTGTGAGACCAAGTCATCAAACACGAGGCCAGGGTTAAGGAAACCCCACTTTACAGCCAGCTGGTGGAAGGTGCAGGTCTCAGCCTTGGCCCCGCGGCTGGCATCTGAAGGGGCACTCTTATGGGACTGGCTCTGTACCTGTGGACTCTGCCTAGGGCCAGCCAGTGTCGCATGACACTGCAGCCCCCCCACACACACACACACACCGGAGGTAGCCAGAGCATTGTGGAACTGCTCGGGGTAAGGGGAAGCCCCATTCATTTGGTGTCAGAGGTGTTGACAGTA